TTGATTGGGGAAAAGTGCTAAGAAGAAAATGAAACAAAGCAACATAAGAGTAACTGTCATAGACAGCTGAGTTAGGTAGAAATATCACAGGCAGTCGGACAGGGCTGGGCCCTCGAAAGAGTCAGTGTAGATGAAAACACAGCACAACTGTGGTTAGAGGCACATTCTTTGAAGGCCGGGCCTCAAGACCAAGATGAAGTGACTACACCTACTTCCCCAGGGATAAACCACAATGATTGATATTCTATAGGCATCAGTCACCGGGTGGGGGACCAGACCTTGACCCACCCCTTCCAGGGAAGGTCCTTGTTCTTTCCAGGTACACTTGCTATGTGACCTGCTTCCCCATTGGATCAATATTATGTAACCAAGCTACTATACTTGTAATCTTATTGGTTGATCATAGCTTTGTCCTGCCTTATACCTACCGCATGATTTTGCTCTGTAAAACTTCCCCTGAGAAGTGAGCTCGTGGGCAACCCGCTTTCCAGGCCCCCTTCTGTCTCTCTTAGGCAGAAACCATCTTTCCCTCAATAAATATTTCCTACCCTTAACCTCTGTTGTTCACGTGTGGTGGTGCATGCCTGTAATCCCAAAGGCGATGAGATGGGAGGCAGCTTGACCTCCTGAGCCCTGGCCTGAGTCTGCTGTCTCTGGAGCAGAGAGAGAGAGAGGTGAGACAGGAGATAAAAAGACAGGCAAGGGCTACATTGCAAAGGATCTCACACATCAGGATAGGGGAGAAGGCATAGAGAGAAATGAAGGCACAGGACCAAGACTTGCTCAGAGCAGGGGCAGAATTGGCAGCAAAAGACTTTCCTCCTAGAGAACTCTCTGTGAGATCATAAAACCGGGCCAGACTGCACAAACACTGTGCTCTGTTTTCCGAGATGATTTCACTGCCAATCTAAATATATGTCAGATACACTGAGTTCGTGTCCCCCAAAGTTGAAGAAGGAATTCTAAGGAACAACGGAGGTTAAGAGTGGGAAAATGTATTGGAGAAAAGGAATGGGGAATAAGAGTGGGGGAGCAAGAATAGGAATAGCTCCTGAGAGACAGGCGGGATCCCGAATGGGTTGCCCACGAGCCCACGAGCCCTCAAAGGAAGTTTTATAGAGCAAAATCACCAGGTAGGTACAATGTGGGTCAAAACTATGATGAACCAATAAGGTTGTAAGTATAGCCGCTTAGGTAATATTGATCCAGTGGTAGCAAGGGTGCATGGGGGACATCATTAATCTAGGTCACTAATCTATAGTCTTAGTCTTGTCTTTAGTCTTAGCCTTAGTGGTCCTAGAAGATGGGAGAGGATGGCCCACCTGCAATGAGTAATGGGAAATCTCAAACGGGAGATACCAAAAATCCCAAACCTCCGTTCGTCCCTTAGGGAGGTATGTGAACCTAGCCCCCGTGACTTTTTCAGATGTGCCTCCAGCCGCAGCCCTCGAGGGCCCAGCCCTCTCTGACTGCCTACTCCGTCCCTACCTAATTTAGCTGTCTATAATCTAATGAAGTATAAGCTGCAGAGTATCTTCCTTGTATGAGGCCATAAGAGGCATCTTAAAATTATCATCAAATTTTATATTTTTACTTTAAGAGAACTATCCTTAAACCTCTCCCTACCCCTAAATGTAGCCTAATGGCACGGCCAACGTCTTGTGTCAGAGATTTACCAACAAGCCAGGGCCTGGAGGCTTGTAAATCTCCCTCCCTAAACTCTGAGTCTTCCCATCCAGTCCAAGAAGTCTGGCATTGACATCTCCATGCGCTCCGCTGCTTGCTTCTCTTACAAAGGGTTTGAGCCCAGCTTTCCACAGTCCACCCCTTTCCAGCCTCCAGCCCCACCTTCTCCCTTTCCTCTCTCTACTGTACTACCTTTGCCGCAGCTGTGCAAAGCTTCGCCTATTTGTCCCCAACCAGGCCACACAAGGTCCTCTCGTGGCGCCATACTGTTGCATCTGCATGCTGTTCCTTTTTTTTTTTTTTTGGTACTGGAAATCAAACTCTTGTGCTGCTGAGCTATATACCTGGCCCTGCATGCTGTTCCTTTTGCCTCAGAAACTTGCTCCTCTTCGCCTGTCAAACGCTTGATGAACCTTATACTGTATAAAGCTAAAATCTCTCAACCTCCTCTGATGACCGAACCTGGAGCACTGTGCTCATCGCTCTGCTCAGGCACTAATCTCGTCATGTCAGGTTTATTTCCTTTACTTGTCTGTGGTCCACTCCACACTAGACCAGTAGATTTCTCCAAAATGGGTCTTGTCCGTTTCCTGCATTCTTTTGCCCCTATCCCAGTACTCTGTGCAGTGTCAAGTAGTGAGTCAAGGGATGGTGACCTCCCAAATGTAAAGAATAGCTTATTTAGTTAGCACATAAGTGAGGCAGCTTAAGAGTAAGGCAGCTAGCTAGGGAAAGGCTGAGACAGAGTTGGGTGACCAGCCATACTGTTAAGAATTAAAATAAGAGCCGAGCGTGGTAACACACTCCTGTAATCCCAGCACCCGGGAGGCTGAGGCAGGAGGATTGTTGCAAGTTCGAG